GAGAAAGATGGTGAGAGGTACAGAAGCAAGACTGGAAATGCTCAGCATCTCTCTCCTCAAGGAATAACAGGACTGTTAGAATTCCCACTAGGTGAGGCTGGCTGCATTTACATCCCCTGCCCCTCACTGCATCCAGAGGGAGGTACAGGCCTTGGCTGGGGTGGGGACGTGGCTGGACTTTTCCTAGGTGGTCACTCACAAGCACCTTCCTTATTCTTTTTCTCTTTTCAGACTGTAAATACACTGTCCACGAACGCTGTGTATCCAAAAACATTCCAGGATGTGTCAAAACATACTCAAAAGCCAAAAGGAGCGGCGAGGTTGGTGACCACTTCTGCTGCATGCTGTACTGGGCAACGTGCCCGTCACTACAGGCTCCTTGGCAGGAAGGGGCTCTGGGAGACTTATCCAGGCCCTTCTCTGCCTGGAGGACCACCCTTAAACCATCCTGTCCATCCGTCAATCCATTCAGCATGTCCCTGGTACCCACCACCAAGCTAGGGAGCACACAGGTTATAAGAGATGGTCCCCAGGCTGCCCAAGAGCAGTGCCGTCCAGCGGAGAGACAGGAACAAAGTGCAAAGCAGTGAGGTGCGCGCTATGACAAAGGCTATGTGGAGCGCACAGTGGGGCAGGAAAGAGAAGCCAGAGAAAGTTTCTCAAAGGAGGTTGCATTTGAGTTGCATCTTGGACACAAATCAGGAGGGCTTCATGAGACATGGGGGACAAGGCACCCTAGGTAGAAAAAGCCCCATGTGTGAAGGCCTGGAGGTGTGGCTCACTCTGGGATCATCCTGAGTTTGACAGGGCTGGGACAGAGGGTGCTTAAAAGAAAGTGAGTGGCTGGAGATGTACTTAGGACATGGGGGGGACCCAGCTTGGAGAAAGGCTTGTGAGGCCAGCTGTGGAGTTGGACAGGGGGTTCCTATGCAGTCAAGCACACGAAGCTGTGACTGAGTTTGCAAATCAGGTTAATCCCTCCAAGTGTGACAGAGGAAAGAAATCAGAGGGGGAAGCTCTTCCCATAGTTGAGGCAAAAGGCAGCCTGCACCAGAACCCACCTGGGGCGGGGTCCACACACATGATCAGTGCTGAGTGTGCCCCAGGCCATGCCAGTCATTGGCTAAGGTAGAGAAAACGAGGGAGAGTTTGGGAAGCAATTTGGAGGAACCATCACCAGGACTTGGAGAGGGGGTTGCAGAGGAAGAGAGGGGAAAAGGCAGGAAATGGCTCTCAGGTTTCTAACTTGGCCATCAGGTGGCACCATTCACCCAGTCTGGAAATAAAAAATTCCATGGGGTGGCACCATTCACCCAGACTGAAAATAAAAAATTAGCAGAGGAAGGGCACTTAGCCTTCCTGCAGAGAGAACGTTCCAATGAAGAGCCTGAGTCAGCAGATGGTTAGCAAGTAGGAGTGGTACCCAACTCTCCTGCAGGACAACTGAGAGAAAGAGAGGTGCCTCCTCAGACCGGTCGGCATGCCCGTGGACTCAGTGCGGCTTCTCATCTGCCCCTTCTACACCCTTCCATACACACCCCACTCCACCTCCCTGCCGTTCACTGGGACACATGGTATGCCTCCTGGGCTCAGGCCCTAAGCCTGCACTCTGGCCACCTGCCACACCGAGAACAGAGTGCAGCCATGAGGGGCTGGCAGGGAACGTTCACAACCTTCTGAGCCTGCAAGGATAGCCCAGATCCTTCTCCACCGTTCAGATCCCAAAGAAAACTGAGAAGGCAAGGTGGTGTTGGGGAGATGACTCTGGACTTGGAGGGGAAGACCTGGCTATGTGTCCCTATTTGGCCACTTACCAGCCCTGGAGCCTAGGGCCAGTCACTTAGCTTCTCCAAACCCTCATATTTTTCCCTGCAAAATGGAAATAATAATAATCTCAGAGCAAATTCAATGTGACCAGTTAGATGGCAAATTGATCAACAAACCAAGTTCTTTAAATCCCCAGAAGTGCAAGGCAGAGATGAGAACCTACAGACCAAAGATGGCCTATCTTCTGTAGCAATAATTTTACCAAAACCATTCTGGGGAGTGGGGTGTTAAGCAGCTTAATTGCTAAGTAATTTAAAACATTTATTCTTATTGAATAACAAACATGAATCATATCATGCAAATATTTCATGTGTTTTTAATATTGTGCTTGTAGTGTGCAGGCTGTGCCCCACAACCCCCAGAGTCCATACTCCCTTCCTTCTGCTATTTGGAGTACCTGGGGGAATGCTTTTCAGAAGTTCTGTAGAATTGTAGGAGAGACTTGAGAGCTGAGGCTTTCAGTTAGTGTTGTCATGGGTCAGGTGCTATCACTTAAGCTGCTTTGACATACAGAGGCATTCCCAGCTGCATTACAAGTTCTTAGCCTGCTTGCTGGTATTGCCTGGCCAGAGAGTAGATACAACCAGCTCTCCAGGGAACAGGGGTGACAAGTACCAGTGGACCCTCACTAATTTCTTAGGACTTTTTGTCTAACTTCTTCTAAAGTGTTTCTCAGTCTTGACTGCACACTATAATCAACCAGAGTACTTTATACATGCATACCAATCATGGGTCCCACAGCAGAGATTCTAATTTATTTGGTCTGAGGTATGGGATGGGAAGCTTCCCAGAAGGTTCTAATGGGAAGTTAAGGCTGAAGAGAGGGAAGAGAGTTACCCAGCAGTGGAACCTCCGAAGGGCCAGGACTGTAACCGTCTCATTGCATTTCCCCAACAACCCCAGAGGTGAACTTACTATGCCAGTTTCTACAGATGAGGGACCTGGGACTCAGAGAGGTCCAAGTACTGGCCAAGGTCCTCCGCTGCAAAGCACCTCCAGCCAGACTTTGTCTGCAGCCCACCCAAGCTCTCCAGAGCTCCCCAGCACCACACTGCCTTCCAGAAGAGGGCACACCTAAGTACATCACTCTGCAAGGAGTCCGCAAGACAGACAGACTGACTGCCAGACAAGATGCTGCTCAGATGCTGTTCACAGGGTGAAGAAACTGTTCAAAATGTGGGCAAAGTGGAGTTTTAGCCTGATGGCAGTTAGGCAGGGAGGGACGACGCTGTGTCATTCGGCAAAGCAACCCAGCAGCCAACAACAGTCCCCTAGGTAGGAAACAGCCCCTGGCTCGCCCCTCCACCAGCCAGGGCCCTGGTGGTTCTGCGCCTTCCCTGGTCCCCTTCGCTTCCCTCCTGCAGGTGATGCAGCATGCATGGGTGGAAGGGAACTCCTCTGTCAAGTGTGACCAGTGCCACAAAAGTATCAAGTGCTACTAGAGTGTCACTGCATGGCACTGCGTGGGGTGCCAGATGATGGTGGGTTGGCGACCCTGCTTCTTTTCAGGGTGGTGTTTTGCTTGCTCAAGCTGCAGCCCAAGAGCAGCAAACATCCCACCAGAGGACATGAGCAGCGCCAGGGGAGCCAGCCCCAGAGTCCCCATTAAATACCCTCATCCTAACAACACTCCAGTGACTTGCCAAGAGGCCCGGACAGGGGGCACTCCCCGAAAACCATGAACTTTCTTCACCTGGGTATCAGCTGAGGACACTAACAAAGTGGAGAGGAATTAGACACAGGAAGTGTCAGAGGAAGAAGGTCCTGCCCTGAAGGCACATCCTGGAGGCAGCCCGCTTGCCTGGGCCAGAGGCCAGCCGCTGCCACCAGCTACAGCACATGCTGGAGTCCATGCCCCCTCTGGCCACCAAGAGCACCAGCACCAGCCACTGAGCTGCCTGATCTGCCCACCAATGAAAACTCAGTGCCATCTCTTGTCCTCCTGACCAGAGATCAGCCACAGAAAGGGGTTTTCTCCAACCCAGCCTGTGAACTCTCAGCCTCCGATGAGTTCAGTCATGGAGGTCTCCCTCCTGCCAGAATCTCAGAGCCTGGGGAGTGAATATCCAACAGAGACTCTGAATCAATGTGAGGGTCCCACACTGAAGGGCCCAGGCCTGCTCATGACTATTTTGCTCTCACAGCCATGTGGAACTCTGGGCATTGCTGACCACACACACACTGGCAATCCTGCCAAAGCCAGGGGTGCATCAGGATTTGGGGGAGGTGGGTGCTAGACAGCTTGTCTCGCCAGCAAATCTCACACGTGGCATTTCTTTGATCACTTTCTCTCACTCTCACCTTATTTTTTCCCTCCAGTTTCACCGCAAATGTGAATTATCAACATTGTGTGATGGTGGGGAACTCAGAGACCATATTTTGCTGCCCACCTCAATATGCCCCATTACCCGGGTAAGTGCTCCTGCCCTGGCCAGGGCTCTGGCTTCTCTGCATTTACATTTTAGATATAGGTGCCATGCAAACATTCACGTCCCTTGGAGGGCTCCCCTGACAACTCTTAGGATTTGTGTTTTCAGTATATCAGTGCTATGACTAAACTGGTTCCAATTGCTGGCCACCCCAAACTCTCTGAAATGGCCCTGTGCACGTAGAGCACAGCTCAAGGAACCCCAGTCACGATCTGCACCTGGCTACCTCCCCATCTTCCTCATCCCTGTCACCTCTCTCCTGTGGCCAAAGATGGATCTCCCCCAGCCTGGAGAGCTTCCAGCTGGGTGGCTCAGCCCTATGTGGAAATGAAAGCAGAAAGTTAAACTCCTTTTATCCCCCATCTGGAACTTTCTTCACCACCTGTGTTCAAGACTCCCCTTTTAAATAATCATCAAACACTTTTTAACTTTCCACTCTTCCCACCTAAAAATTATTGCCAAATCCTGGTGATTCTTCATGTCTCATTCTTAAAAATATACGAATTCCATGACCCAGCAATTCTCCCATGTATCTATAAGAAACACAAACACTTGTTCCATCAAAATATGTGTTCAAGAATGTTCATAGCAGCTTTAATCTTAACAGTCAAAAACCAGAAACAAGCTAAATGACCATTAACAAGAGATGAGATGATCTGATGTCTTTCTTTCTATGAGGCTTTTTCCCTTCCAAAGATGCTTGTCTCTCCTCTCTTCTCACAGGACAGGCAAAGCGGGAAGTCTGATGGCAGTGCGTCAGCCAAGGGAGAGCTTGTAATGCAGGTAGGTACCTCAGTGAGCGCCGAGTCCCATGCTTGTTCTAAGTTGTACCAAGGCTCTGGGGGTGGGGGACAGGGTTTGGGTTCTTAAGAAATGTATCTCAACATTTGTTTTAAGGACATTTTATTTCTGGTTTCTGAGTTACCTTTGACCCCCACGTTGGCCCATGTGGTGAGAAGGGAGACTGGCTGGTCCCACTACTAGTCTAGTTTACTTGATTACCTTTTTAGGGACAAGTTACATAAAACTTGAATATGCAAACCTCTTAAATAATAGCAAAAAAGGCTCAGCGCCTGTAGCTCAGCAGCTAGGGCGCTGGCCACATGTGCCAGCTGGCAGGTTCAAACCCAGCCCAGGCCTGCCAAAACAACAGTGACAACTACAACAACAACAAATAATGATAATAATAATAGCAAAAAGGTAGCCTAAAAAAATAAAAATAAAATAAAATAAAGGTAGAAAATAAAATAAAAATAGGCAATAGGTTTTCCAAGATTGCCTAGCTGTCTTCGGAACATGATCTGCCAAAATAAAGCTCATCGGTCAGATCCAAAGCTCTTCTTAAACCTCAAGTGTATATTTACAAATCATTTTTACTTGCGTTCACCAATGTACATCTTTTTGTGTGTCTCCCAAAGGATTCCAAGGAATGCAGGAAAGGCAGCCTAGTGAGATACAAAAAGTACCAGAAAAAGATCTAGAAATAAAGGACCTCTTCATCTGCCTCTGAGCCTTAAAGTTGCCTTGTCCAAAAGGGGGCCATCGCAATTCTCACACTGCCCACACTCCAGAGGTGCTGGAAGATGGAATGAGAACGTGCAGATTAGTATGTTTTAAAAATTAAAACATAAGACATAACAATGAGAGAAACTTAATTTTTCTTAAGCTCTAGAGCAGCGTTGTTCAACCCTTTTTATCTCACGGCACACTTGAGCCCGTAGTTAAACTTCCGCAGCACCCTTGAATTATGTTGATCAAAAAAGGGGGTTAAAAAAAGAATATACTTACTGTGCTTTGAAATTCTTTCATAAATATCTGAATTAATGATCTTTAACATGTTCATGGCACATCTAAGATCGCAACAGCACTCTAGCAAAGTTAGACTCGTCTCAAAAAAAACAAAACAAAATAAACAAAAAAAAAAATACGAATAAACAAGAAAAGAAACTCCAAAAGGTAATACACACATTGAATGCAGAACTTTTAGTTGTAATGATCACAGGAAACATCATAGGGGAAGGGGCTCTTGAATTGACGCTTGAAGAGAAGACTTTTTAAAAGAGGTTATAGGAAAGAAGTGGGCATCTCAGGGTAAGGAGCAGGAGACGAAACCAGCGTGAGCAGATACATGGTGGGAATTCAGGAGACACTCTCACTCGAGGAGCAGGACCAGCTGGACATGCAGCTGAGGAGTAGGGGAATTAGACAGTAGCTGTAGAATGGGGCTGGACTGGCAGGCCTTGGGTGGCAGTTCAGGCAATTTCCATTTTATCCTCTGAGCAATGAGGTGCCATTAAAGACTTTTAAGCATGACTGATATCCTGGAAAGGAACTGTAGGGGGACACAGGTAGGACTTACCTGAGCTAGGAAAGGACCCAGTGTGACTATGGCAGCTGCCACAGATAAAGAAGCATCCCGGGAAAGACCCAGTGAGACAGGATCTTCTGGATGAAGAAGAAAACTTTTAATGGAAATGGCGAGCCAGAAGAGAGGACGAGTGTTTTGGGGAGAGAAAATGGCTCAGGTTTGAGGCATGGTGAACCTTCCTGTTAAAGGTGCCCACTGGGCAGTGAGAAATGTGGGACCAGGGCTCAGCAAGAAAATAGGGGCTGGAAACATGCATTTGGAAGGTGCCAGGGGGGAAATGATGTTTCACTCTGTGTCTGATCAGATGGCCACACTTTCTAAGGTGTATTCAGTTGTGTCTCTCACAAGATGTAGTCTTGGGCTGGGGGCACGATGCCACACCAATGTTGAATTATTTGAAGCTGTAATACCATCGTCCCACCTTTGATGCCAACCTCAAACGCTCATTGCCATTACCACTATTTAAGGGCCACTTAAGCTAGAGACACTTAGCTGCTTAGTCCCTCATAGTCTCAGCCAGTGGACAGAGACCTACCAGAGACGGCCTCTCCTCCCTGCCTGGGACCACTGCTCTGTCACCTCTCCAAAGCTGTCTTGGCACCAACTTCCATGTCATTCCTCCTTTTGGATGAAATAGAGCTAATATTTTTTTCTTTTACCTTTTAAGTATAAGATCATCCCCACCCCGGGTACCCACCCGCTGCTGGTCTTGGTGAACCCCAAGAGTGGAGGGAGACAAGGAGAAAGGTATGTTCTCTTCTCTTTCAAAGTGGAGAGGTGAGGGCAGCCGGTCTCGGGCCCTCCTCCCCTCAGCTACAACAGGGCCAGCTGTGGGGATAGATAGACTCAAACCCCAGCACTGCCACCTGCCACTTTCTGACCTGGCCCAAGTGTCTTCATGTCCCTGGGCTTCCATTTCCTCCTCTATAAATTAGGGGTAGTAATAATTCCTCCTCTCACAGGGTTATTTTAAGGATGAGAACAGACACAGGCCTGCCACCCAAGCCATCCCAGGGTCAGACTAAGCTCAGAGAAGCCCCTTCCCTCCTGGCCTCCCAAGTCTTTTCATAATTTAAGAGATGTGGTGAGGCCCACTCATTAGGACCTCCTGGCCACCTGCACCCCTGAGAAGGCAGGGCACCTGCCTCATCAGTTTGCTGGTAGCTGGAGACTCTGCACAAAGTAGGAGGAGAGTGGAAGGTGGGGTATGGCAGCTGCTGCCCCCAGGACTGTTTAGTGATCTGATGATCTAGTGATCACTCCAATGACCTGGAATACAGCTTAAAAAATAACTGGTGGGATTAAAGCAAGAACTATGAGCACCCCATCCCAGTCTAAGGGGCAGGACGTTCCTGTTGAACTGTCCTTGATTAGTCTCAAGCTGGAGCCTGGAAACTAAGCCTGAAGGTGGCCACTGCCTCTCAGCCCTCCCTGCCCCAACTTCTGTGTTTCCTCCTCATCCCAGGGCTGCTGGGGCAGGCCTCTTCCCAGGGGGCACTTTGATGCCTTTATACAGCCCATGAGGGAAGAAGACTATACAGAAGGTCTGGGAAGGTTCTGTGCAGGAAAAATCTTCAGAATGGAAGTTCTGTTCTCTGGATTTCTCTGCCCTGCCCTCTCTGAAAGGGGTGATGCTCCTGAGTTAGTGGGTAGAGCCTTGAATGGGGGGGCAGCCTTGAACCAGGGGTAACAATGTGGATCATGCCTGGGACATCAGGGTGTTCACACAGCTTTCTTCTTTCTCAAATTTAAATGGACCCTGCAGAAGTGTTTGCCTTAATGTGACTTCTCAATATGACATTATCCTTCTCTGTCTCTCTCTCTCTTTTTTTTTTTCTTTTTCGCATAGAATTCTTCGGAAATTCCACTACCTGCTCAACCCCAAACAAGTTTTTAGCTTGGACAACGGGGGGCCCACTCCAGGGTATGGAGATGATGACCTTTACCCTTACACCCCGCACCCTTTGATCCCTGATGAAGATGCCTTCTTTTGTCATCTTCCTCATCTTTCATCTCTTGACCTGTCCTTCCTGCCCCTTGCCCCTTTCTCTGCTTTGTGTGGCTTCCTACTCTTTCTCCCCCTGGAGAGACTCAGGTTGCCCTTTATGGCCCTCTGTACCTACTCCCAGAAAAGGTTCTTGATTGTGTATGAGGGGAAACCCGCACAGACCATTCATTTTGTTGACAGGAAGAGAGGGCTGGTAAATTATTTTAACTTATTTGCAAGGCTGTTAGCTGGTATCTTCCTACTGAATCATCAAGAAGGAGAAAGAGTTTTCTTATCACTGTCAGTCAGCAGTTTGGAATCTATACGGTGACTCACTGCTGCCGTGTGTTCTGCTGTGGGGACATTTTAAGATCAAGACGATCGACTATTCAATAAACTCCCTTTTCTTTGCTGGATTATCCAATTTTGAGGTTATGCTACTCCTGGCCTTCTCCTCCTGCCACTTGCCTATTGGCTATTTCACTGCATTAGCAGAAGGTGTAAAGAGGTGTGCTGGGAGGAGCTGGCCCTGTGCCAATGGCTAACATGGTGAGCTGCGGGTCCCTGTGGTCAGAGGCCCGGCCTACACCTGGGCTGGAAGGCTGAGCCTTCTTCCCAGCCAGAGCCAGGACACTAGAGCCACCTGCTGGCCAGTCCCAGCCCCGGCGCTATCTCTGCACACGCTGGGCTGGAATTTCCCACCACAAGACCACTTTACCCAACCTCCTAACGGGAAATTCTACTCTAGACTGAGCAAGACCCCTCAAAAGGGCTGAAGTAAAGATTCCAAAAAGGGAATGTGACCCCGTCCTCATATGTCTCACACAAAATTGTTATTTATGGCAGTGGCAGTATAAGACCCAGTTCAAAGGAGAAAAACATGAGTGTGAATTCAGTACTCTTGCCATGATTTCCCCATAAAACTAATTTCAGAACAGAGGCCACCTGTACTGCTGTGGCCACCATCACAGTCATGGTGACTGCAATTGATACTGTGTAAACTCATCTGTGACCAAGCAGCCACCCACAGGCACCTTTAAAGCCCACTCGCAATACTCAAAAACAGTCCTCTAGCTTAACCACATCCATCCTGAATTGCTTTCGTGCTGGATGACAAGCATGGTGTGCCCTGAGTGTCTCTGATGTGCGTGTCACTCTGAATTCTTTCGGAATTCCATTCCCATGGGAGAGTGGAGTTCTGCATGAGAAGTGAAAGAGAAGGAAAGTCAATTTGCCTGCAAGGGCATCTGTGACTCTGGGAGCCCCAGGGCTCTTCTCAGACCACCAGCCTGGGCAGAGGGGAAGTACTGACCTTCAACTTGCAGAGTCTTCCCCCAGGGGTCCTCTAGTTCTATTGTTTTAAAGTAGAGACTATTAACCTTTTTTGTGCCAGGAACCCCTTTGGCAGTCTGGTAAAGCCAATGAACCCCTTCTTGGAATAATGCTTCTTAATGCATAAGATGAAATCATATAGGATAACCAGAGAAGCTAATTACATTGAAAAACAGTTATTAAAACATTAAAAAAACAAATTTGTGATAGGGGAATATATGTGCTTTACTGACACATTAAATAGCAAGGTCCCAAAGCGAGTGTAGTAATTACTGTAATAACCACGGCAGTGAAGAGTTTAAACAGTAACTAGGAGGAGCTGTCCGCCATGCTGTAGTGAAACACTAACATGGCTGCAGTGTGGACAGGGTCACAAGGATCATGAATGTCTCTGTGATCTGTTGCCTACATTCATAATTGAAGGAAATGCAAAATTTCACTTAGAGCTTAGAGAAAATAAGAATGTAACATTTTCTCCTCCAACTTCATGGCCCTTTGAATCCTACCCACAGGCCCTTTGGAAGGGGATAGACCCCAGGTGAAGAGCCCAGCTTTAAAGCGCAAACTCTCACTCCCTCTGCACAACTAGCAGAGGATTTCTAGAAAACCACTTTCTGTATGTGTTGAACGCTGAGTCAGAACCTCCTTATACAAGGACGGCTCCCCGTGATTTTTCTCCATATTCAATGGCACTGCATAGTAAATTCTGATTTCAGAATTTTAAGTGAGCCTTTCAACCCCCAAAGGAATCAAAGTCTTTATAGAGCCCCAGGGAACAGGGGAGACTCTGTCTGAACAAGTATCAAATGTCAGCCACAACCTAGTCCACAAATCCATTCTGGCCTTTCTTCTGTTTCCCAGATTGAACTTTTTCCGTGATACTCCAGACTTCCGGGTTTTAGCCTGCGGAGGAGACGGGACAGTTGGCTGGATTTTGGACTGCATTGGTAAGCATGGGCTGGGAGGGCCTTTGCTGTTTATTTATAGTAAGTATATTTAAAGTCAGCAGAAGGCAATAAAAAGAAGAGGAATGGAGCCATGTCTTATTCATCCTTGTACCCACCCTTGGACCGATGTTTGACAAAATATCTGCTTGGGTGGAAAAAAATGAAGAAGTAAGACAATGGAAAGAGTCCCACAGACACAGAGATAACGGTTTTGCTTCAGGCCTCAGAAACATATCTGTCACAGGCGGAGCTTGGGCAGTGGCAGCCAGACCAGATTTTGGGGGAGTGGGGGACAGAACTGGGACTCCAGACAGATCTGTGATGGGAGAAAGTCAGAAAACTCAGCTCAGATGCGTAGCCCAGGGCAAATCACCTGGAGAGAAACTCCTAGGGCCTGAGTCCAGAAAGCCCATCTGGAAAGTTCAGATCAGTGCAAGCAAAGGGGGCCACACTGGACGGTGACCCCTACTTCTAAATAAGAAGGGCAGAAGGGTAGGCCCAGGCCGGGACTCTGGGGACCTGAGCCCTAGCCTACCTGTTCCTGGATCTGTGGGTTCCTGAGCACATCAGTCTCAGTAAGTGATGGAGACTGACTCTGTGAAATTCTGGGATGTGGCTGCCTCCAAGATCTAACCCTACAGAACCTTCAGGAACACTGCAACATGGACCATCAGACAGGAAAGCAGGCACAGTGGGGGAGTGGGGCCACTGGGCAGGGCAGTCATCACCATCAGAGATGAGCCCAGAGCAGTGAGCCCTGGGCTGCTTGGCCTGTCCCTCCCGTTCCGCAGATGCTGCCTGTGCCCCTCTGTGCGCTCAGCTCTCCTCAAGGCACTGAAGATACAGCAAGGAGCAAACACAAAAATCTGCTTTCACAGAGCTTACTTTCTAGAGGGAAGAGACAGGCACTAAACAAGGAAATAAGTGAAATGGGTCACCTGTCAGAAAGCAGTAACAATACAGCAGGCAGAGGCAAAGGGCTCAGAGTGGGCACGTCCAGGGAAGAGCAGGGAAGATGACATTTGCATGCTGGCCTAGAGGAGTGGGGAGCCCAGGAGATGCCTGGAGGGGGAGCGGTGGTGCAGAAGGAACAGCAAGGACAGAGGCCCTGGAAGCAAGCATGGCCAGTGCAGAGTGGATGCGAGGAGTAACAGGATATGAAGCACAAGTGATGGGGCAATAACTGGGACATATGAGACACCATATGGAATGTGGCTTTTATACAGAGAGTGCCCCAAGACACAGGAGGGTTTTGTACAAAGAAGGGACATGACAGATTCAGGTAAAAGGACAGAAGCAAGAGACCATGGCAGCAATCCAAGGGAGAGATGACCAGACTCAGGCCACAGTGGAAACAGAGAGGTGGTGAGAAGCGACCAGCTTCTCCCCATCTTTGGGAGGTGGAAGGAACAGGATGTGCTGACAGACTGGATGTGGGAGATGAGAGGAGAGTCAAGGATGGGCCAGGACCAGACCCTGGCTGGGGCAGGGGAAGCTGGGCCTCCGGGGCATGTGAGCAGACCACCTGCAGGGGTGAGGGCTGCAGGAGAACACCTGCACCCTCTGCTCCCCCCACCCCCGGGCGCTCCGGTTGCCATGGACACAGCCCTGCCAAGCAGCCACCCACATGCTCCTGTCACCTCAGGCTCTGGAGTTGTTTGTGGGAGGAGGGAGGAGTCCTCTGGGAGCCAAGGAAGGAGAAGCTGATCCACAGAGGGTGGAGGGCCACAGTATCGGGCTGTTTGCATGGCTCCCTCTCTATGGGGTGGGAGAAAGTAGGCTTTGGTGATAAGTTTTATCAAATTCATCTGCAGAGGACACAGGTGATAGAAGCTGCTCAAAACAAAAAGAAAGAAGATGACGTGAGGCGGAAGAAATGTTAGGTTTTTTCACAGGTTAGTGGCCCAAAGAAAAAAAGCGGAGGTAAAAAAATAACTGCATAACATGTTCATTCTTTCATTCATTCATTCATTCCATAACTGTGTGAGCACTTGTCCCGTGCTCCCCAGAACCACGCTGTGTCCCCCTCCCCGATCTGTTCTCCCCTACAGCCACAGTGATTTTTCCTGAATGTTAGTGGGTTCCTGATGTGGGGAAATCTTAGGATAAACACAAAAGCCCTTTAAGGGGTCTACTGGGCCCTTATTTCATACCTCTTCTGGACCCCCGCACCTGCCCTCTCAGACCCTTAACCACACCAGTCTCCCTCCCAACATGCGGCCTCCCCCTGGGAATGCTGCCCCAGCCCTGCTTAGTCAACTTCCATTCCAGATCTCAGCTGAACTGTGCTTCTTCGAAGGGCCTCCCCTGACACACCTGCTGGCCTCAGTCACCTTGTTAAAGGACCATGCTCCTGTCCTTTCCAATAGAAATATGAAATGGTGCATTCTCCCCATGAAGACCTCATTGATACCTCTCCCTCCCACCAGGCTGCCAGCACCATAGGAGCCTGAGCCATGACTTTTTGCTGCTGCCAGAGTGGCAGCCCCCAGCAGCACATCTGGCAGCCAGTAGGCTTCCATCAGAGTGTGCAGGGCTGCTGTGGGAGGAGACCCAGCTTCCCTAGGACGTCACAGTACTCTCAGGGAACAAAGAAGTAGACAGTTGCAAGAGAGTGTGAGGAGGTCATTTCTGATGCTAAGGAAACATTCTGAAGAGGCTCCAGGTCCAGACTGGGACAACCAGGAAGGGCATCCCAGAAGCAGCTTCTGAGCAACAGAGAGCTGTGTGATGCAAGGGACTGAAAACATTCGAGGATGGTCGCCATACTGAGTGGGAGGCAGGGCACACAGAGGGATGGGCTGGCAGAGAGATGGAGCGTGGATCCCGAGGTCTAATGTGGCAGGTTACAGAGTCACGGGGAGCCACACAGAGGAGAAACCAGAGGCTAATGTGAGGAGCCTGCAGATTGCCCTTCTGGGTCGAAGCGTGGAAGACACATGAAGAGGGTGGAACTGGAGGCAGAGAGGGTAGAGAGGAGGCTCTTGCGGCAATACTGGTGGGAAGGAGGCATACCCACACTCAGGCGTCTCCATGGGGATAGAGAGACTGCCTGGATCTGTAAGGCGGCAGCACTTAGAAGTGATGTGCAAATGAATGAATGAGGGAGAGGTGTCGCCCAGGTGTCCCGCCTTAACAGCATGGGGATGCTTGACCTGCTGAGACAGGGGCCTCCCAAGAAGGGGCAGACATAGGAAACAGGAGCCTTCCAGGCAAAGGGAGCAGCGTGTGCAACAGCAGAGAGGCATAAATCAAATCACCCATTCTGAGAACAAGGACAGAGTCCATGGCCTTACTCCACTGTCCATCTCAACCCTCCCAGTAGTAGTCTCAGCCCTGGGTCTTGCCTGAGCTCTGCTGCTTCTGGCAGACATCAGACAACTTGGGGGACCTATGAGCTCCCATTTTGCTGGGGCAGCCCTCACTTGAGCCCCACCTGCTGAGTCATGCTTCTCCGCCCAAGCACATTGCATACATCCAGGGGCCCAGTGCACGCTGAGGTCTTATGTAAACAGCACCCCGTGGAGACACTCCACAACCATCAAGGGAGAAAAGATGAGGAATCTGTGATTTGGCAATTCTAGGAGGTGGTGGAAGTGAGGAACTGTTGTATGGCTGCCACCTAACTCCTGGGTTTTGCTCGTCTAACCAATGTTAGCTTTGGGACTTATTAAACCTGAATAGCTTTAGGTGAACATCTTCAGCTTTCCATGCCCCACCATTCCCTAAGGTCTCACACTCACCTGTTTTACTAACCTTTGCACTTGCCTAGCCCCTGAAGAGAGGAGAAGGGACTTGGGGCCACACAGATCTGGGTTTGGACCCTGGCTCTGGAATCCCATTCCCTCTCTGAACTTCGTTTTCTTCATTTACTAGGAGGAGATACCTCTCAGGGTTGGTCTGAGGTAAATTAAAAACTTACAAACTAATGTTTGGGGGTATATGCTGCCACCCCAAAGAATAGAACTAGGATGAAATTTGAATAAATGTGCGAGTTACAGGGAGACATATTTAACTCCATGTAAAATATAAACTGACACATTTAGCCAATTTGTGGTGATTAGGTCACTGCAGATGGGCTAGATGACTTTAGGAACTGGTGTGTCCCCATTGTAGGAGGTATTCAAACAAAAATGCTCTGGAGGGGTCCAGGCACCAGATCAGGGATAAAAAGATAACTCGAGTGCTCTGTCATCCCCATGCTATACAGTTTTCTGTTCCTCTGAATGTGCTGCAGATAAGGCCAACTTGGCGAAGCATCCACCAGTGGCTGTTCTGCCCCTTGGAACAGGAAATGACCTTGCCCGTTGTCTCCGCTGGGGAGGAGGTGAGTCTGCATGCTAGTGGCACGACCCTGGGGACAAGCATTCCAGGTTACAGACGGAGATGCTCTCCAGAGCTAGGCTGAACTTACCCTTTAATGGATCACATTCCACAGAGTCATACTCAGCCCTGCAGTCATATCTAATCCATGACCCTTTCTCTGCTCTCCCTTCCACGCTGAGTCTGGAATAGGAGCTGCTCTCCTGGGCTCCATATTTACTGTCATCCCCAAACCAGCAGCTTGGAGCTGCCTCTCCTGGCAGAACATAGTTGACTTTAGGGTAAAGACAAAGTCTTATACATCCCCTCCCCAGCGCTCATTCAAGTAGGGGTTCACTTAGGTGTTTTCTATATGAAATTTCCCCTCCCCCAAATGATCTCCTGAATTAGGGCTCAGACTGCAGGACTAAATGCCACAGCGCCAGTTACTGGGAGTCAGCAGGAGCATCCAGATTGTTTGAGGTTTCCCCCATAACTATAGGTTTCATTTTGAAATCACCCTAAAGGGGGAAGACAAAGTGGTAACCAGCTTCCAGGGCATTGCACAGAGAGAACTTTGCCAACTGCAGCAGCCCCCACAGAGGCAGGCGTGCTCCAGAGGGCGGAGGTGCTCAGCTCTACATGTGGAGCAGGCAGATTAGCCTGGCAGCCAGGGAGCAGTGGGGACTATAGATGGCTGATGGATTCAGAGAGAGATTCAAGACCAGGCAGGGCAGCAGTCGGTGCTCAGAGATTGGTTCATGCTTGCTGCAGGGTCAGAGCAAGCAGGAGCAGCCCCCGGAGCTGCTCAAATTCTGCCCCCACATCCCACGTGACACAGTCCGGGAAGGGTCTGCTGTTGTTCCACACAGAGCCTCCAGCCCACCAGTTCTCCAGGGCCTGCTTCAGCTACACAGGCCTGCCACCTCTGAGCAGCAGCCCTCCCTGCCCTCTGCTACTCAAGCTTCCAAATCACTGCAGCCTCTCTCTAATTACTCCTGATTGTCCTCCCCTTCTCTGTGGCTCAGAGAACAGAAGTGTCTCCAGCCCACAGACACCCTGGTCAGGTCCCTGGTCCCAGACGCTCCTGGGCTTACCTGCCCTGACAGCTGCCTGCACATCAGCAACAACTTGGCCTTTCTTTCTGGTGACAAATGCAACGTCGCCGTCCACAGGTTACGAAGGCGGCAGCTTAACAAAAATCCTGAAGGACATTGAGCAGAGCCCCTTGGTGATGCTGGACCGTTGGCACCTAGAAGTCATCCCCAGAGAGGAGGTGGAAAATGGAGACCAGGTCCCATACAGCATCATGAACAACTACTTCTCCATCGGTGTGGTGAGTCAGTCAGGGGTCACCTTTCTGCATGGACGAGAAATGCTCAGGAAAGGGTCCCGTCTTCCATTGTCTCCTGGGTCCCTGCTCTCTACCTGTCCCTGCCTGCCCCAACCCTGACTTGGATTCAAACATCCTTGAATTTGGCCTCGGTGTGGACAACCCGATTGCACCCAACCCCATCCCCTATAATTTTAACTAACATAAGAAAAGACTGAAATTTTTTTCACAAAACATATTTACCCTTTGGGCAATTTGAAGCAGTTATAGGGGGGAAAAAAACACCAAGAAATAACTAAAGGGTGAGGTCAGGAGGAATCTCTCTCATGGGCTTCAGGAATTAGGCATTATGTTCCTTAGGGAGAATTGTGTGGTCCCAAGCTGCTGTGGCTGGTTTAGCACTCAGATTTCCTTCTTTTCAATTTTCTCCCCTCCCCTCCATCCCACTCCACACACTCCAAGTGTGTCCCCTCCTCGCTAGCCCCTCTGCTAAATGTCACATTCCTGGCGTCTTCCCATCAATGCACTCTGCGTTAGAGTGAAAGCCCCTAGCACGTGCGCACACCACACACACAGCCTATGCTCCTCTTTCAAAGCCCAGCACCCAGCACATCAAGTGCAGCTCGGTTTGCTTCACTGAACTCAGCTGTGGTCCAAAGAGCCCTGAGTCGGCAGCACTTCCCAGGCCCTTATGGACAGGCTGGGGTGGGGTAGGGAAGGATCAATCATTTCCATAAATAGAGCTGGGGGTGGGAGAGTGTAGCATTCATGGAGCACCTACCGTGTGCTCTCCACTTGCTAGGCTTTATATAGTCTAGTTCTCACGGCAATCCTGCAGGTGTCATTGTACAAGCAAAGGTCCAGGACATTTGACTCCTAAGGGATAGAACTAGGATGCGTTGGCTGTGCCTTACTCTGGAGTCAGGTTCCTTCCTCTCTGTTTCCCTGTCTTTGCAATCCCTCAAGACCAGTACTGTGGGCCCAGGCTGCATGGTACCTATACTCCTCAACCATCCTCACATATGCCTTTTTTGAAAAGTTTGGTAATTTAAAAAAAAAGGAGAAGGGGAAATTATAGGTAGCTTGAGGGGACAATAGGTTTAGGGAGAAGGCTTTATTATATTAGAAAGAGAACCATGGGAGAGGAAAGAATTAAAAATAATAATACCTTATATTTATAGAAGGATTTAAAATTTGCCATATTTACAAATACATGGTTCTTAATTCTTAGGACTATCCTGAAGGGCATTATTATCTCCATTTATCAGTGAGGAACTGGAGACTCAGATTACAAGCTTTGCCTTTCTTTCCTGACTCCTAATCTAGTGCTCTTTTTCTATCTCTAAAGCAGAAGAAAGAGGCATAGGTATTGCTGGGCTCATCATTAGGTTCTGAAAGGAGAGCTGAGGGACTGGGAGTAAGTTTAAGGGTCCCTGTGCCCCAATCTGTTGTATCCCCCCAGATCTCCAGCCTCAGTTGGGAAGGCATCTTTCTCTAGATCTCTTCTGGGTACAACCCCCTCCCCAGTGACCCACGCAGACACGTTCCTCCTTTTCTTTCTCAAAGGCACCTACCTGTCCAGACCAGCCTCTCAGGCTCCACTTCCCTCCCCGCCAACAGGAATGCATGCAGCCTTCAGACATGACTGACAGGTCCAGGTTCTGGAGCCTGGGCATCCCATCATCACAGTTTTACAAAACCTTATGCCTTTTTCCTTTAATGATAAGAACATACCTTGATAACATTTATTTAGTACCTACTGCACACCAGGAAGTTTCCCTGTAGGTAGATACTGTCCATATTCCTTTGAGTTTTGTAGGAAGGAACCACAGCTTAGAGAGATACAGAAACCAGTCCAAGCTGCTAAGTGGTGAAGCCCAGAATCATTTGCTTGAACTCCAGAGTGAGCTGGACTGTGGACCCCCATGAAGCCTCTGTGTGGCCCCCTACATCTTCTTGCTGCCAAACGTGACACCATTTGAGGGGAAGGGGTCACGAAATGTAATGTGCCAGGACTCTCAGCTGCCTCTTATCAGAAATGCAAACTTTACACCACCACCCCCCCAACAGATTCTGATTCATATTCTGACTCAGTAGGTCTAAACAAGGTCTGGAAAGTTGTGTTTTGGACAAGGCCTGAGATTATTCTGATGCAGATAGCCCTGACCAAGTCAACCCATTAGAGCAGAGAAGAATGGTCAAAGGAAGTGGTTCTTCACGGGCTCAGAAACCAGAACTAAAATAAACAGAGAGGGTAGCTAGACAGGAGGGGAGAACTAGCCCCTATCAGAAAGCTGGAATCCAGAGCTGAGGAGCAGGACTGGCTGAGCTGCCTGCAACTTCTAGACAGCAGGTTACAGCCATGGCCGCCTTTGGAACCTTCAGCCCCACTTCTTCCTTTTCTTCACACACCCAGCTCTGGCTGAAAAACAACATGCTTCCCTGTCTGTCTCTACACAGCGCCCCATGTCAGATGTTCCTCTCTTAGTATTTCTGATCGAATGGATGAACACACTAAATGACAACCTCCCCTCAACTAAATAGCCAGGCCCTAAACCCAAAAGCCAAGATTGGGCAGTCATCACGGTTTTAATTCATTCTAGGGAAAAAAAGAGGAAGGAAGCAAGGGAAAGAGGGAGAATGGAAGGATGGAGAAGAAAGGAAGGAAGAGAGGCAGGCAGGAGGGTTAGCTGATTTATTGTCCCCCCAAGGAAACACATACAAACAGATTTTCCACCACTCTCAGTGGTCAAGATGTCTAGCTGCCCTGGGCTGACTTATTGGGCTGACAATAATCTAATCTATCCGTCTTTTAAGTTATGAGAGACTTTGCAATACCTTCCTCATTATTTTTTTCCCCTACACCTTTAGCCTTTGCATGTTTAATGTTATGTTTCAGAAGGGTGAAGAAGCAGGACTTTTTTTTTTTTATCTCTTTCGTGTACCCTTAGCCTTCTCTCAATAAAACATTTGCAGGGTTTGTGTGCTCGCTCTTTAAAAGTTGGAGAGAGAAATTCTTGAGAAAACAAGTAACCACCACGCCGCCCTAACAGAGTCTGGGGCTGACATTTGCAGAAGGTCTTGCTCCCTATTTGACTTCCCAAACTTTGTAAGAGGAGAAGTAGGTATGTAAACCAACCCAGTTTTACTTCCTTATGACAATTAAACAGAGTTGAACTCCTTTGGCAAAGTGAGCCCTCTTTTGAAGGATCTGGAAGGTCTTATTGATATCAAATGTCCTCTGTCTTCCATTTATAAATATGATGACAGTGTCCCCTTCTACAGTGCCCCTGGGTGCTACGGGTCAAAATTTGCTCTGAGTTTACCCAGTCCCCTTAGTGCCAAGACAACCCATTTAACAGATGGAGAAACAAATAAGGCCAAGCCTTTTGGCCTGTCCAGGGAGTGACTGTGGCCTCTTTGCTACCACATCCCATCCACATGCCCGCTGCCCCCCTGTGAGGAGCTAGGACAGTTAGCCTTATGGGTCCTTTTAACTCATCATATCCACTGGCAGGAGATTTTAAACATAGTCATCCAGAATGCCACTTCCTCTCACTTCTCTGGCCTGATCCTCCCGGCTTTTTATTTTTGGATTGGCAGAAATGTCAGGATGGCCAGGTATCAATGACAGGAAGTTTGGGACTACAGAATAATTCCTGGGGTATGTGTGACTCTGAACTCCTCACAAGCTCTACTTTCACTGAGCCTTCACAGGATGCGTGAACAGTTAATCCCTTGATTCAATGAAATCTATTTCTGATGCTGGGGCAGCCCAGGGACCAAGGAGAGGCCACAGTCATTGCATTGACCCATGCTCCATTTTCTACCTTGCAGATTGTTATTAGATATCAGCAGCTGAGTTTTCCACAATGATAAGCCTCCTATGCATTAGGGAATTTGGCCAAGAAGACATTATTTTCCCTGCAAACTTTTGGCACCTCTCAGCACCAGGTTCTTGGCTGTCACCTGTGAGAGCCATGAAGGTACCAAGACAGAGGCCAGAAGGCCTCACTGAGGAATGACTCGACAGGGCTCCACGTTCTTTTCCATTGCCCACTCTGCCACAATCTTCAGAACAATCCCAACTGTTCGTAATCCATCCTATGGTCTCCTTTCTGTCTTTTGATCTCTATAGGTTGCCAAGGTGACTTAGACCCACATTATCCAATGTGGTAGCCATTAGCCACATATGGGTATTGTGTGCTTGGAATGGGGCCTGTCTTAACTGAGGTGTTCTGTAGGTGTAACACACATACCAAATTTCAAAAATGTGATAGGAAAAGAAAGAATTTAAAACATTTCAATTTTTTTATTGATGACATATTATAATGACAATATTTGTGGCATAATTAAAATATATTATTAAAATTAATTTCATCTGTTTCTTTTTACATTTTCACATGGCTACTAGAAAATTTTAAGTCACATATGTGGCTTACACTGTATTTCTATTGGATTGCACTGGCCTAGACATTCCAATATTTCAAAGTCCAAATGACTGCTGCTTGTATTTGTCCAACCGTGTGTCTGGAGTTGTAGTTTTGGAAAGACAGTCCCACGTCCAACCCCTCATCCTCTCCTTTTCACCCCACACATAGAAATGACCTCAGCTAGTGAAGCTGTCAGAAATGCCATCGTCACTTCCACGGGTTTGTAATTCCCATCTTCCCCCCTTCACAACAGAAGTCTTATTTTGCTGTAATTATCACCAAGGAAGCGTTTAAACCGTTATAGCCCTGGCTTCCAAAATTTAAATAAAGTCACTTCTTGGTGTAAATACTATATGTCCTGGCTATTGACTGACTCTTTGTTTAATCCTCATGATTAAGAGAAACATGGCCAAAGTCTTGACCATCATTGCCTGCTCAGCTCACCCTTGCTACTTTGCATATTTGGCAAGGGATTACATTGTCCAGTCAGGAACAACATGCTTCACTAATAGTGTTATAAAGGCTGGTCTTTGTGAAGTTTTGCAAAACCCTAGTTATGTCCTTGGAAAAACCAAGGACAATCAGAGCTATGCAGAAGGAGAAGGCCTATGTATATATCCTGAAGAATTAAAAAAAATATATTTGGAGCCAATCACAGCAGCATTGGGGGGGGGTAATGAGGTATAAATTACGCCAAGCAACATGCAAATGCTTTATTCTTTCCTTTTTTTTTAATCCTGGCAGAAGAAAATTAGTGTTTCAAAGGAACACAGTAGATGGAATGTTTTCCAGAATTCTAGAGCCGCATTTGACAAATGCCACATGTATCTTGAGAGTGTTCACTGAAACTTGCTCAGAGAAAAGGAGGCGGGCACCATGTGGGAGCATAAAGTTCTCCTGCCCAGACAAACAGTGCAGGCTGCACAGGCTCAGGGGCAGAGGCCTTCCTGGGGTCTGTGTTCTCCCCTGTGCATCCATTGGGTGCTTCATTAAGACCTTCAGCTCTCAATGTATTTTAATCTAAAAAGTAAATCAATAGCTAAAGTTTAATTTTTAAACTTTCAAGACGTTATTTCAGCAAGGAATATTTGGGAACCACCAAATAATTCCATCTTCTTGACTTGCCCTCCCCACTTCTCAAACGCAGGCAGCTTGTGGGATTACTCCTGCTCATCACACACGGTACATGCTCAGAGAGCTCCTTCACCGAACTATACGTCCTGGTGTTAAAAAAAAAACTCAACACTCAAAAATGTCTGAGCATGGTGGCACACACCTGTAATCCCAGCACTTGGGAAGGCCAGGGCAGCCTGAGCAACATAGCAAGACCTTGTCTCTACAAAAAAAATTTTTTAATTAGCTGGATGTGGTGTCACACACCTATAATAAATAAAACACCTATAATAAATAAAAAATTTATTTATTTATCTTGGGAAGATGAGGCAAGAAGATTATTTGAGTCTAGGAGTTTGAGGTTACAGTAAGCTGTGATCATGCCCGAGCAACATAGTGAGACTGTCTCTTAAAAAAAAAAAGAAAGAAAGAAGGGCAGCGTCTATGGGTTAAAGGAATAGGGCACTGGCCCCATATGCCAGAGGTGGCAGGTTCAAACCCAGCCCGGGCCAAAAACTGCAAAAAAAAGAAAGAAAGAAAGAAAGAGAGAAAAGAAAATAATAAAAAGAAATTTCCGTATTAGAATGGAAATAATATGCATTAGCTGAAAATTCATTGTATGGAATTTCAAGTGTCTTTCAAGCACATATTCTAGTAAATGGGTTTCTGTACTTTTGCTCTAGAACAAATCTGAATCAGCTCCCTGGTTTCTGTGTCATCCTCATCTCCAGCCCAATTAACCATTTATTTCTGAAGCCTAGCTTCTGCACCACAGGTGCTGATTTGGGGCCCGTGTGGTAAAGGGATATTCCACATTCTTCTGCTGAAAAGTGAGAACTTCAGTGAGGACAAAAGACAAAGTTTGAGGAGGAATGATGAGATGTTTTAGGTTTGAAGGTCAGGGTTCTAAAAGTATGCACTGTGGCACCATCAGCATCTAGACTCTAGAGGCTAGGAACAACCATGAGAACTCATGAGATGGCCCACAGTGAACTACATGTGGGACTCACCTGAGAAGTTCTGATGGGAAGATGGAGAACCCAGAAGCAAGGTGTCATGAGAGCCATCCCAACTGTGGGTTCTTAGGGGCAGGGGACTAGTAGTGCAACACAGGGATGGGTTAATGAAACGGCAAGTTGTCCCACTGGATGTAGTGATGGGACTCTTACTGACCTTAGAGAGAGTCCTTTAGGTGACATGATCAAGAATCCAAAGCCAGAAGTTTAATAGCATTTTAAATTACCCAATGGCACTAATTGTTCCCATTGGTATAGATGATCAAGAATAAATATATAGGCTCCATGCCCGTAGCTCAGTGAGTAGGGCGCCAGCCACATACACCAAGACTGGTTCAAGCCAGGCCTAGGCCAGCTAAACAACAATGACAACTGCAACCAAAAAATAGCCAGGCATTGTGGTGGGTGCCTGTAGTCCCAGCTACCTGGGAGGAAGAGGCAAGAGAATCCCTTAAGCCCAAGAGTTGGAGGTTGCTGTGAGCTGTGATGCCACAGCACTCTACCGAGGGCAACAAAGTGAGACTTTGTCTCAAAAAAAAAAAAGGAATAAATATATACTAGCACCTACCAAATGTCAGCTTTCTAGTTTCCACAACATACTATAGTTATATAAGATAATATCTTTGGGGCAAGCTGGATGAAAAGGATATAAGGATTCTGTACCATTTTTGCAACTTCGTGCAAGTCAAAATTTTCCAAAATAAAAAGCATTTTTGTGAAAAAGTTAGCGTGGCAAGGCGTTTCCTAAGATTCACACTGGGCCCCACACACAGGCTCCTGCTCACTGGCCCTCACTTCCCCAGAGGGCAGAAGCCTTTTCCTTCACTCAGCAGTGAACTCCCTGCTTCTCCCTGGGCCGGGGAGACAGTGAAAATGGCAAGGGCGCCAGTGAGCAGCGTAGGCTTCAGGAGCGTTGGTGGCACCAGTGCATCCCCTTGAGTGTGGTGCTGAGCCTCTGTGACAGCCTTGGCTGTCACGTGTTGTGCCTGCTGAAATCTCAGGGTTGGCATGACTCAGCGAGGGCCCATATGTGTCCCTTCCCTCCACATTTTATGGCCATGACCACTCACCAGAGATCTGCTCTTGTCTTTTTCACTTTCAGGATGCCTCCATTGCACACAGATTCCACGTGATGAGAGAGAAACACCCTGAAAAATTCAACAGCAGGTAAGAGGCCTATAGGCCCAGCCCGTTCTGCCACCCGCCCAGTGTGGTCCCTGGACAGAGGCCTCCCACCTGCTCTCCAGAAATGTTCTTGGCCCAGACTGCCCGTGGACTTGGCCTTCCTGCCACATTGCCGGAAGGAGGGTTTCTATTTCCAAGAGAGAGAAAAAAAAAATAAAACCAGGAACCTGCTGCAGCCTGGTGGCCCAGCCCCTCCCAGAGGATCTGTGCAGAGGGAGGGCTAGAGGGCAAGAGTGGGTGGGAAACACATGCCTTTGGGGGCTGAGGGATCTGCTCTTGGATAACTGGAACCCTCTCCTGGGGCTTGGCTGTTTTCCTGTACAGCGTCTACACCTTCCGACCCCCATAGTTCTCTGGGGAGGAGCAGAGAGAGTAGAAAGGGCTTCAGCTTCTCTGGGTCTGAAACGGGAGGAGGTGGACCGGGAGGGCGTCGCTGCTGCCTCCCTAGACAGCAGAGGGCAGCAGCACAGAGGACCCTGCAGAGACAGGCGCCCGGAGCCTCAGCCTGGCTCCCCTGGGCCATGTCGGAATGTTAGGTTCAAAAATGAAACCAGATCATCTGCAAACGAAGCCAAACCCTTCTTGCTTGCAGGAGAGACTTGGCCAGAACTGAGTTGCACCTGGTAGATAGCTACCCCTCAGATTGTTAAATTACCTTTCTCCTTCTTCCTGCTTGTTCTCTTTTTCTCCTCATTGGTTGACGTTTATTCTTTCTCTTTGCGCTTTGATGTACTATTTCAAAATGACCACTGGATCCCACCTCCAACCTCAGGCAGGTGGGGAGGAGGATGGGTAATAATTTGAACTTGTTCTTTTGAACTTGAAGGGATTGACTTCATTTAGTCACAGAATTCTAAAAGCGGAGGTTAGCCTGTTATCTGAAGACATCCATTTAAAGCCCAGCACACTGCCCCCCTCCCCAAAGGGTTCGCCGTTTTTCATTCCTACTCTTTGCCCTGACCCTATTAGTTGGGAGGTTAGCCAAGAAGAAGCAGGTCTTTTTAAGGATTAGAAACTGAACATAACAAAGCTACTTCTGCTTCAGGAAGGGTGATCCACTGGATCTGACAGCAGCTGCACCAGCCTGACCGGGAGGGGCATTCTGTCCCAGCATCAGCATGCTCTTGCTCCGTCCCACACCAGACCTCACACACCAGACCGTGCATTCCAGCCCTCTGCTGCTCTCCCAAATGCACCTGCAAGTGGCAGTCCTCTCGTGGCCTTTTTCACCCCATATACACACGGAATCCCTTTCTTAAAGAGTACTCCTCTTCCACTCATTCCGCAGACTTTCAAGGTCCTCTTTTCACACAAGGACCCTTCTACATGCTTGTCCATGTGTGCCTGTTAAGATGCCATGTGCTTATGAAATCCATGGGGGGGTCTTCATTCATTCGACAGTATCTTTTGAAAACATACTACACACCAGACGCTGTTCTCTAGGTGTTCTGAATTGATGGGGGAGGGACTCAGCCCAGTAGTGGAAACAGGCTGAGAAGCAGATGGGCGTTTCGTGTTAGTGACATGACTACAGGTGACCTGCGGGAGCACAGAGCAAGGACATGGAGTGGGGCGTGGAGGATTTTCCAGCAAGAGAGATGCCCAAACAAAAACACAGGAGAGAAGGGCAACCCGGAGAGAAGGAGCCAATGCACCAAATGAGACAAAAAACTGAGTGGGAAGAGCACGACTAGGGAGAGCCAGCCTTTCAGCGTGGCCAGGTGTATGGCCTCTTGGCATGGGAAAGACGCAACCCCCTGTAGTTGGTAGAGAACAAGGAAGCAGAGGGAGGGAGAAATGTCTCCACGTTCCGAAAATCAATAGGTCAATGTATGACATAAATTGAGCAAATATCAACCGTCCACATGATTAAGTACAATTACCCAATTAACGGATCCCATTAACCAGGCTGCTCTTTGGGGTTAGGTCCATGCGTCACCCTTCATGTGATTGAGGGCCAGGCAGTGTGTTCTGGGTGACAGGCACTTGTAAATCTATGTGCTGGCCTAACAAGACACAGAAGGATGGAGGTAGCACCTGTTTCACAAGGTCACCGAACACTTCCTATTAAGAACTTTGAGTGCGTTATGGCTTCTACCCTGCCTGCTTGCCAGTATCTAAAATGCCCAGGAGTGCCCAATTTGTCCACTGAGAGGCAGGCAAGCAGCCATTTTCTTCAGGCTTCCTTATTTAGCATTGGAGATGGTTTTAAATAGGCAGGTGGTTGTTGCCATGGTTACCCCATTACACCAGCAGCTAAACTTAGGAAGGGCCACAAGGGATAGGAAGAAAGCTTGATACCCAGGATTTGGAAATGTAAACGATATTATCAAACAAGGCTTCATTTTACTCAGCTGAACTTAGGTTCTTCAAAGAGTAGTCACCGCCTGGTTGGAAGCCTTTACTGCCCGGGTCTGGGCTTTCAGAGATAACCTTGAGGTTAAATCTAGGGAGTTGTAATTGTTTTGTTTTGTTTTCAACAAGGGAGTAGGACTAGGCAGGGTTAGAATTTATCAGGAAACTTGAATCTTTCACATTGCTGATTCAGTTTTCTGGCCTGTTCTAACAAGGATTCTTAACCTGGGATTCAAAGGTTTTAGGGGTTCTGAGAACACTTTGAAATTGTCCTATGAAATTATGTGCATTTTTCTGGAGAGAAAGTCTATAACTATAGATCTTCTAGAGAGAAAGTCTGTTAACTGTCAGAAGGTTCTTAAAGAGCTCCATTACCCCCCAAATGGCTAAAAGTCATCATTCTGAGGCCTCTTTGAATCCTGAGAGGAATCAAACCTGTCAGGCTTTCAGGAAATTCTTCCTCCAGTCGCTTCTTTATGCAGATTGTCGCCAGGGAAGGTAGCTGGTTGCACAGAACTAAGTTACGTTCTCTGATGGAATAGCTTTGTTCATGGGGCAAAAACCAGGCCTAAGAAGGCAGGCGTATGTGTGACAAGCCCTGTGTAACAAGCAAGGACAAAAGGCTATGGGGGGGAGGGGCTGTGTAGGGTCCTCCTGCTGCCTAGTCATTGACAAGCTAGTTACTAATTGCTAGTTAAAGAATGTTATGAAAATTATCCTCTCATTGTTGGCATAAAAGACAAAAGAGAGATGTAATGCAACTGATTCTAAAATGTGTGAGGAAGAGTTCTAGCATAAAGGCCAACTACAACGTGGTCCCTGCCTTCAAGGAATTCATAGTCTAGCAAAGAAGGAAAAATAATGCTCAAATATTTTTTACAAAACTTTTTACAAAAATAGTGCTCAAATATTTTTTTACAAATGCTCAGCTGGAAAGATGCCCGCATAGTTCCAGAGGAGAGGAAAACAGGTACCCCACCCTCTCGTACCTTGGATGGCATGCGTCTTCTCGAGGAGGTTACATTTACTAGGTGATGTGGTATACGGAACGTTGTATAGTACCACATATATGGGAACTTATTAATGGTCATACTTCAAACATCACTGGTAAATGGATTGTTTTGAGTATAAAAATAGTTTTATAAGGGTACCCAGCTAAGAACTGTGATCTTTTTTTTAACTCCTACTAGATGCCAAGTGGTAAACTGGATTCTTTAAATTCATTAAATTATTTAAATCCCGAAACAACTTTATAAGGTAAATATCGGCATTCCCATTTTATAGATAAAGAAACTAAGGCTGGGAGAAACTGAGTCACCTCACCAAGTTTATTCATTTTTTTTAAGCAGTGGGGTTGATTTGAGTTCTGAGCTAGCTCTTACCTCCAGAGTTCAGCTCTGTTTACTGCACCTGCTGTCTCTCATGGGTTTCATTTAACAAACACCTCGTGTGTACCAGATACTCCAATAGGTACTTTATACATGATTCCATGATGTTCACAATATGTGTCACATGCAAGGGTAACTGCTACTGCCCCCATTTTAGAGATGAAAAAACTGAGGCTAAGGAAGGTAGAGCTATCATTGGCTTCATCCACCTTGATGCATAGTCTCGGTGGAAAGATGCCAGCTGAGTTCCAAAGGAGAGGAAAACAGGCACACCACTCACTCAAACCTTGGATGGTATGCGTCTTCTCCCTGTTTCAATGTCCAGAGCAAGGAACAGGACTGACTACATGATCTGCGAGGCCCAGTACAAAATTAGCTTTTTCAAAAATTATAAAGAATTTCAAGCTGCTGACAGTAGAACGTTAAAGGAAATGCAGAGACCTCCTAAGTGCAGGGCCTTGTGTGACTAAACAAATCTCACACCCATGAGCTGGCCCTAGCAAAGAGAGAGGAATTCATAAAAAGAAGACACATGGTCAGGGCTTCCACAGTGGGAAGTTTGTCATACAGGCAAAAGAGTGGAGAAAAGAGGATTTCCTCTAGGGGCGAAGGAGAGGTACTACAGTCTCTCAAACAAAGAACAGTCAGTACTACCCAAGCAGCCACAGTGCCACCAAAGTCTTCTGATATCCAAGAGCCAGCCCTCCATGATGTGTCTGGATTAAGTCTCTTTAAAGGGTTTTGCATATGTGCGATCTATATATAAAGGCTACACAATTCCAATATCACTGTGAGTGTCCAGAAAGCAAAGTCTGAGAGTTTTTCATGCTGGCCAGAAACTCAGAGCACTTGAGGAATGCGTGAGGCCAAACCTGTTGAGTGCTACCCACTTGAAAATGTCTCTCAGTAGTCCAGGCTGAAGCAAGTTAGGTCCTTCAAAGGGACCAGGACAGTGCTTCATTCTTACCTGAAGCTGACCACCTTTCCCGAAAGCCCTTGGGTAATTAACAGGTTCTGGAGTGTTAGCTTTCTTAGAGCTGGGGCCGAGGAGTAGCTGATGAGGGGTTTCCCAGAAGCCCTAACATAGCTTGAGTCTGCAAGTGGTTGGAAATATATCTTGTAAATAACTAAGCTCTTAGTAGATATTTATAGACTGAGACAGCAGAGTATAGAACAAGTTGGCAGCAAAACTTGGCTCTGCCACTTACTAGCTATGTGACCTTGGGCAAGTTAATCTTT